TTTGTCCTATTACAAATACATCAGAATTCAAAAAAGAATCACAAAAACTTTCCGAGAAAAATATTGAAAATACAAAAAATCGTCAAGTGCTTGAACCAATTGAAAATGTCGACATAAAAGTGTAAGATTTGTCATATATAATAATTTGTTCTTCTTATGTCAAAACGACAAATGTGCAACTTTACAGTTTAGAGTTATTGCTATTTAAAAATTTAATTTGTTTTAAAAATTGCGATTCTTGTTTTATTTTTATAATTCTTTTAATTATTCAATTCATTATCCTAAAAATCTTTGTCCAAAATTAAATAAAAAAAAATAACATATTATTTTAGATTAATATTAATATTGTACAATATATATTTTATAGATTACCACTTGAACAATTTCTTTGTATATTTAATGATAAATTGGATGACTTTTCTTACAAAGAGAATCTTATTGTCCAAAGTAAGTAGAAATAAAAAAATATTGTGATAATTATATATACACATATTCAAATCTAATCAAAAAATTTACAGCGTCTGAAGATGTTTTAAATGAATCATCGCCAATCAAAACAGATTTTGCACAATGTGAAAATATGGGAATAGAAATGATTTGTCCTATTACAAATACATCAGAATTCAAAAAAGAATCACAAAAACAGAGAAATCAAAAAATTGAAACATTTGTGATTTTGACACATGAGGACGATTTATCATGCATAAATCTCACATTTATATAAAAAATGAAAAAAATAAAATATTTTATCTTCATAGCACAAGTAATAATGGAACATCGATGCATGTACAACTGTATTGCAATCCATTTCAACGATACAAGAAATAAAAAACTCGAAGAAATTAACTTGCATATATGTTTGAATTCGAAAATTACATAATCATACAGTATATATGTACGTATGTTATTTTTGTTAATTTTCTTATACATAAAACAAAAAGTCTTCCAAAGCCTTACAAGGATAAAATGAAAAAAGTATTGTGTTTGAGAGTCATTTTCGTAATAAATATTTTTCAATTTACTTAAGTAACCAGCGTAGTCTCGCGCGTATCTTCAACTTAATTATAAGTTAACAAATTAGTCGTTACAATAAAA